ATAGAATGTAATTTGGATATTGTCAAACCAAAGTTGAATTTTGTATATAAAGTAACTAACGAGATTCTATGGGGAGATAGAAAACCGGAGGAGATCAGAATATATACGAAATTATATCATGAAAAGTTAAGAGCTATCCATTTTCACGAAGAATTTCGTTCTTGTAGTAATTGTGTTTGTAAGTGACATTGATCACAGATTACGTATCGATAAATTATATATTAAAATTGTAAATTCTTTATCTGTGGCTGCCACTGAATCCTACACTGTAAGATCACGCGTTGGCAAGCGGCCTGTGGTTGGGTGGAACAGATATGTACGCGATGCCCACAGGGAGGCCAGGTCGAAGTTTTTAATGTGGGTTTGGTGGGGAAAACCAAAAAATGGTAGTGTCTATGAGGACATGCATAGGAGTCGCAATTTATTTAAGTCGCGCTTGAAGTGGTGTCAGAACCACAGCGATCAAATAAAAATGGACATTTTGGCTACTCAGCACGCGAAAAATGATTTTCGTAACTTTTGGAAATCCACCAATAATTTAAATAGTAAACCTGACCTATCAGTGAGCGTCAATGGTATTAATGATCATGGTCTTATAGCGGATATGTTTAGAGAGAATTTTACAGTGACATCACCGTTGGAGCCATCACAGGACATAGAAGATGAGGATACGCGTGGCCGGGAGATTGGAATTCGATTTACAGAGAAGGATGTCAATAAAACTATAGCTTCTATGTCCCGTGGGAAGTCTCCTGGCCATGACGGACTTAGTATTGAGCACCTTAAATATGCAGGTCCTCACTTACCTAGATTACTTTCTATGTTTTATAATACATATGTATATCGCATTCATACTTGCCCGCGGCTCTGATAAGAACTGTGGTGGTGCCTATAGTAAAGAACAAGACTGGAGACATATCTGATAAGTCCAACTATAGGCCCATCTCACTTGCCACGGTTGTTGCAAAGGTGCTTGACAGTTTGCTTAGCGCCCAGCTTGATAGACATATATGCCTACACGACAATCAGTTTGGCTTCAGGCTGGGCTTGTCAACAGAGTCGGCTATATTATGTTTGAAGCAAACTGTGAAGTACTATTCGGTTAGACGAACGCCTATTTATGCCTGTTTTCTGGACCTTAGCAAGGCGTTCGACCTGGTAAATTACGATATCCTATGGCAGAAATTGAAAGATACTGGACTGCCGGAAGAAGTTACTAGGATCTTCAAATTTTGGTATCGAAACCAGGTCAATGTCGTGCGATGGTCCGAAACCTATTCGCAGCCATATGGGTTGGAGTGCGGGGTACGACAGGGGGGCTTAACTTCTCCTAAGCTCTTCAACCTTTATGTGAATGCGCTGATAGAGTTGCTTAGCACCACACATGTCGGTTGTCATATTGACGGAGTATGCCTCAACAACATCAGTTACGCAGATGACATGGTGTTGCTGAGTGCTTCTGTTTGTGGCTTGGCAAAACTGTTGAGCATATGTGAGAGCTACGCCCGCAGTCACGGATTGATTTATAATGTCAAGAAAAGCGAAAGCATGGTCTTTCAGGCTAAAGGCCTGAAAGCCTTGCCCTCGTATATACCACCCATTAAGTTATACGGTACCCCGTTAAGAAGGGTGTCTCAGTTTAAGTACCTGGGTCATATAGTATCCTTTGACCTGAAAGATGATGCTGACATAGAGAGAGAGCGCAGGGCATTGTCTGTTAGAGTGAACATGATCGCTCGCAGGTTCACTCGTTGTTCAGTTACTGTTAAAGTAACGCTATTTAGAGCTTACTGCACTTCCTTTTACACGAGCAGTCTGTAGGTGGATTACACGCAGAAACAGTATAATGCCCTGCGTGTTCAATATAATAATGCATTCAGGGTGCTGTTGGGTCTGCCTCGTTATTGTAGTGCGTCGGGTATGTTCGCGGATGCGCGTGTGGATTGTTTCTACACCACCATGCGTAAACGATGCACATCCCTGGTGCGCAGGGTGCGGGCCAGTTCCAATAGTATCCTGAGGGCATTTTCTGACAGGTTTGATTGTCAGTACCTGAACCATTGTCATATGGTGCACGTGCTGACTAATCGGGCCTGTCTTAGATATAGTTTTGAAAATTAGGTAAATAGTTTTAAGTTTTACTAACATTAGTTTTAAGATTTGTATTGTTACTAACATTCTATGATCCTTGTGGTCGAAATAAACGACATTTATTTATTTTTATTTAATATAAAACTTTATGTCAAAATGTCAGAATCAAGTAATTTTCCAATAAACTCTGTTTCAAAACTTAAAATAGTTTGTAAATAATATGAAAACATTTATTTTTTGTTCTTTGGCGCGCTTGTACAAAGTTACATCGTGCGTCTAGTTTTCATAGTGATGTGCTTGATAGTATTCGGTCCGAATTCATTGGAATAGATATGATATTTATTTTATTTGGATATTTTTATTTTACATATTCCTTCGAGCAACTAGACTATAATGCTACCAATTTTTTTGCGTCTCCTAATTGCACTGTGTTGCCAGTATCTCTATGATTTTTAAGATTTATGTGTGATCCAAAGACAGAAATACTGTTTTCTATGATTTAAAAATAAATACAATTAAAATGATTATGTATAATTTTTAACATTCATAATATATAAAACAACATTTAATAAATATAATTTTCTCCCTCAATTAAGCAATGTTATAGGTTTATTTTTTTAAGTAATTGGCGATACTATTCTGGCAACACCCTTACCACCGCTATTTTAATCTGTTTAGTCGTCTTCCGTACTCTCGTGCGCACAGACTACGTTCTCTTGTGTAACCGTTGTTTTTGACTCGGCTTTCTCCTGTTTATCGTTGCGCTTTATTGGACTAATTTTGTTTGTGTTTGGTAATTTTGTTGAAAATGCCGAAACGAGGAAAAACATTGAATAGTCAATGTCGTGAGCTTGTACTAAAGCTACAGGATTACTTTGAGCATGAGTCACAAAATGGCGGCCCTTTGATTCCTGTCACTCAAGTGAAAGATCGGGTTTCACAAGCTTTTGGAATTGGTGCAAAAACACTATATAATATAAATAAAGAAAAATTTGGTGCTTCTGGAAGTGAAGATAATGTTTTACGGACTCCTAAGAAAAAACGAAGACAAAAGCCCGTGACAGGTGTTGATGTTTTTGATGCGGATGCAATAAGAAACCACATATATGGTTATTATACTAAGGAACGAGTTTCCAACTAGACGTTTGCTTTTGGTCTCTTTAAAAGAAGCTGGCTTGTTTAAAGGCGGTAAAACGGCGTTGTCAAAACTATTGCACGAAATTGGTTTGAATATAAAAAAACGAATAAAAGGAAAATATTAATGGAAAGATTTGATTTAATAATTAAAAGAAGCGAGTTTTTAAGAAAAGTCAGAAAAATCGAGTCTTGGGACAACGTCGTTTTTGTTGACGAAACATGGTTAAATGCGAACCACACTGTGGTCACGCTCTTGGACTGACGAAACAAAAGCATCAACCTCAAAGGTTCCAATTGGAAAAGGATCGCGACTGATAATTTGTCACGCTGAGAATGTGCCACGGTTCTGCTGGAAGTGGTTTCTTTGAAAATGGACTGCTGGCTTTCGCGTCTAAAAGTACTTCCGATTACCATGCGGAGATGGATACAGACACTTTTACGAATTGGTTCGAAAATCAATTATTACCCAGCCTGCCAGAGCCTTCTATCATAATAATGGACAACGCTTCATATCACTCGAAACAAGTGAATAAAGCGCCTACTCAGGCCGACAAGAAAGCTGATCTCGTAGCATGGCTACACCAAAATGGAATTGAAACTACTGCCGAAATGCTAAAGTCTGACTTAGTAAAGTTGGTACGCGAAAATAAAACATCAAGAGTCCGTTATGAAGTAGATGAGATAGCTCTAGCACATGGACATCGGGTACTTCGAATTCCGCCTTATCACTGCCAGTACAATGCCATTGAGCTAATATGGGCACAAATCAAAGGTATTGTTTTTTATCGCATAAGTTATGAATATGAATAATTTGTACTATTATAACATCCAATATTCAGCATATAAGTAGAAAGATACATAACTAAGAAATAAATATCTCATGCCCCTTACATGTAGGTAATTGTGTAACATTTCGTTTATTTAATGTAATAAATTAACGTTATTTAATGTTTACAGGTTACGCAGCTCGTAATACGACTCCGCCATTCAGTACTAATAAAATGATGGGTCTATTAAAAGATGCTTGCAGCAAAATAACGAAAGAAGATTGGGTCAAGGTCGTCGAAAAGACTCGAAAACTAATAACAGAAGATTATGAACGCGATATAAGAGTGGACACCATTATAGAGAATGAAATTGTCATACAAGTGACTGATAGCGATGACAGCTCTGGCGAATCTGGTTCAGAGTCTGAATAATTGTTTTAATAAATGATAGGTAGTAATTTATTAAAACATCTTGTACCTACTCTATTCAGTAAAATGTGTAACAGTGTTTACAAATTTGTTTTATTATGATATGTCCTCGACCATCTACGCCCATCAAGGATACTCCACCTAATAAAGAACCTGTGTCTTTAACTATTATTGTTTTGATTTTATTTAATTACACACTATACTAGAATATTTAAAAACAAACTGTTCCCAAATGATATTAGGGTTACTGGTTCAGTCACTTCACTAGTATTGTCAATTCGTCATGTGTCAAATCGGTAATAACTCAGCGGCCGGACTATAGTTCATTCATTCTTTCCTGTATAGGATAGTTATATATTCTTTGTTCATTCCATAGACAAGCTCATTCGTGTTGTAACCTCCAAGAGAGTAACTTGTGCGGAATTAATCTGTGTAAATCTTTTAAATCCGAGTTTATTTTATTAATCTAAAAGTGAACTTTACAATATACATACACTACACTCAGGGTTACAAAAAAACAATTTTGCTCCTTTATACTGTAATGAAATCACTCTTTCGTTTCCCTATTCCACTTACCGTGATATCTCCTTGTTGTGGTTTAAAATTCCACTGCATGGACGAAGCTACATCGGCATTGAAACGCACTTTGATTGGTCGCTCCTTTACAGTTTTCATATTACTGACAGCCACGGCTGCCTCTGCTTGTCCTGTTGTACCTCCGTAACTGTATGCCTAGCGAATTAAAAGGATTTATAAGAAAGTTACTATGGCAACCACCCCCCCCCCCCCCCCCATAAAGAAATCTATGCGGAAGATCTATATTCAGCATTGGACTTATAAAGGCTGTATTCATATGAAAAAATTGGGAGTGCGCAAAAAAAAACAAGGACGTTGTAGACTAGATTTTGTGTTATAAAGATATTAACTGTAGTCAAAACTAAAATGACGTGGAGGCCGTCCGCAAAACACATACACACTACTGAGAGGAGAAAGTGGGGGTGGATTAACCACCAATAAATGGTGTTATGCCGATATATTAATTTATATCATCTTCATGTATTTTGACACCCTCTTTAATATGTAATATTTTCTGGGAATACTAGGGAATATTGTTCTCGGGTAATGTGACTGACATAGAAACTATCTTTGTTTTTCATTCGAGTTACTAGAGCAATATATATAACTGAGATCGAAGGAGTCTTTTAGAGAAAAATTTAAAGAAATAAATTTTGGAATACCCAGTATGTTTATGAAAATTTAATGTACTACTGTAATACACAAAAACAAAAATCGTTTTATTATCTGTAAATACCAGAAACAAGCACAATCCAGTAAATGCCAGTTACTCTTTTAGAAAAAAGCTCCAGAAAATTTGTAGGACTTATTTATCAATAAGTTCCAATATTTTATTAAGCAAACATTGTTTAATCAGGGTTATAGAACATTCAGATAAATTACTTACAATTTATTAGTTTCTGTGGTGTCGGTAGAAAATTACAGTATGCTCTGTGAAATGTGTAACAATAAATCATTGGTGAAATTATTTTGTTCTTTCTTAGTACTTCGGTTTTTACTTTTGGTAAATGTTAATTGTTTTAACCTTTTGACTATGACTATGAATATTGTCTAAATTTAGTTACATTAAAAATTTTATCCCTTATTTAACCACCCTAAGGGGTTCGTTTTTTATGCAAATTTATATGTGACCATCCCTAAAGTATAAACCTTTGTAATATAAATTGTACCTTTGTAATATAAAAACAGTGGTAGAGCCACGCGGCAGCTTTGCTGTTGCACGTATGGGCCGGCTCAAACCGAGGTGGTACCACGACCTCGCAGAAGACCGACGTGAAGTAGAAGCTTTGCTTCTGCATTTTGTCAGGTGAGTGCAGATAGCCGGAGGCCCAATTACCCCCCCCCCCCCTAACATGGTAGCAGAGTTAAATACAGGAGGGTACCAACACCCCCGGTGACGGAGAAGCTCTCGCTGAACATCAACGCCCAAACTTCCCTACTCTTCCTAAGCGTGGGTGCTCAGGCTGCCCCTCGTATTCTGGAGGGGGGGTGGGTTCGAGACTAAACCTGCTCGGGGCAAACTGAGCAATAAGTCAAAGGCCCCCTTTCTTTTTCGATTTTCGATTTCTGCAACATCAGGGGACTTAATTCAAACCTTAACGCCGTCCACTACCATCTGGAAACGGCGAAGCCGGCCTTGCTCTTTCTAACCGAGACACAGGTGTCCTCTCCAGCTGACACTTCATATCTCTCCTACCCGGGATACAGATTAGAACACTCTTTTGTGCCCCGGGCTGCAGTTTGCGTGTACGTCAGAGAGGACATCTGTTTTCGAAGACTCGGCAGCCTTGAAGGTACGGACCTGTCCATCTTATGGCTACGCGTAGACAGGCTTGGTTCTCGTTTAACCGATCATGCGGGTAGATCTGTTTATGACTTTGCTTTGGCATATGGTCTGACACAACTGGTTACCTCGCCCACGCGGATCCCAGATGTGGAAGATCATTTACCTTCTCTGTTGGACCTTCTGCCGACCTCTCATCCGGACGGATATCAGGTCTCCGTTGACGCCCCTCTTGGCTCCTCGGACCATTGTCTGATCCAGAGTACGATGCCAATCACACTCCCATCGCGGTTGCATACTGCAGGTTGCCGCCGTGTTTGGCATTATAGGTCAGCCGATTGGGACGGGATGCGATCTTTTTTTTGCATCCTACCCTTGGAGGCGGGTTTGTTTCTCGCCGGATGATCCCAGCCTTGTTGCTGATTCTGTCGCCGATGTGGTGCTAAAGGGAATGGAACTATTTATTCCATCACCTGTGGTACCTATCGGAGGCAGAACCTAGTTGGTTGGTTTGCTATGGTTTGTTCGATAGATAAAAACTCACGCCTGTCACCCAGAGGGGTAGGCAGAGACTACAGACTTCCATTTAGCACGATCCTGACATACCTCTCTCGCCTCTTCCACATCCATATACCTACGCATACATGCTCGTCGGTTAAGGGTACTCTTAATTTGGCCTATTTTTAGTATATCGCCAATTTGGTCGACAAACTGACAGGGTGAGAAACTGTGTGATAAAAGAAGAGTGTGGTTTGCAAGATGATGCAGTGACCAGGATTAAGAAAGGAATACTTCGGTGGTTTGGTCATGTAGAAAGAATGAATGCGGAAAGACTGACAAAGCAAATATATGTTGCAGAAGTGAATGGAAGAGTCGGAAAGGGACGTCCTAGGTGGAAGTTTGTCGACCAAATTGGTTTGTTCGCTCCTGCAAAATTGCATTACATCATAAACAGGAGTGTTACCAGACACGGACTCGCGCATCGACGTCTCGGGATGTAAATACGAGCGTTCTTAAAAAGAAGTATAATTCTGCTTCCAGGTCCTTCAAAAGCGTCATTGTCAAGGCAAAGTCAGAGCACATCGGCAGAATTGGCGAGAAACTTGTTCGTCTTCCTTCGGGTACACGTGCATTCTCGCCTCTCGGCAATATTATCGAAGGGAACTTCTGTCAGCCATCTCTTCCATCTCTGCACAGGGAGGATGACTTACTGGCTCATGCTGCAAAGGACAAAGCCGATCTACTGAGTTCTCTCTGCGTCCAACTCGACTCTTGATGACGGGGGGAACACACCGCCGACCATCCCGCAGTGTGAGTGCTCCATGCAGAATGTGCTGCTTACCCAACGCTCGGGGCGCAGAGCACACCTCTCCCTGGACATCAACAAGTCGAGTGGGCCTGATGGGGTCCCTCCTATTGTGCTGAAGACGTGTGCTACGACCGGTCTTAACGCATCTTTTCCGGTACTCCTACACCCTAGGCGTAGTACCGAAATCATGGAAGACAGCCTTCGTGCACTCGACCCCTAAAAAAGGTAACCGCTCTGATCCGTCCAACTATAGGCCTATCGCCATCACCTCCTTGTTCTCTAAAATAATGGAATCTATTATTAACAGCCAGCTCATGCGATACCTTGAGGATCACCAGCTGATTAGTGACCGCTAGTACGGTTTCCGTCGCGGTCGCTCGGCTGGTTATCTTCTAGGTTACCTAACTCATAAATGGGCGAAGGCAGTAGAGTCCAAGGGGCAGGCGTTGGCCGTTAGTTTAGACATAGCGAAGACCTACGATCGGGTTTGGCACAAAGCGCTTCTTACGAAGCTTCCTTCTTATGGACTTTCCAAGAAATTGTGCGATTGGATCATCACTGTTTTCTTGCTGATCACAGCATCCAGATCGTAGTAAACGGTGCATGCTCCAATTACAAGCCCATTAACGCTGTTGTTTGTTCCACAAGGCTGCGTGCTATCACCAACGCTGTTCCTTCTGCATATCAATGACATGTTGCAAATCGGTAGCATTCATTGCTATGCAGACGACAGCACTGGTGATGCTTTATACAATAGCCGTGCCAATTTTTCTCGAGAAATGGTCGCCGAGTACCGTGACAAACTTGTGTCTGAAGTCGAGACTTTGTGAACAAAGTCTCAGACTGGGGGCGACTAAATCTAGTCCAGTTTAATCACCAGAAGCACAAATTTGCGCGTTAAAAAGAACCCCTTCACCTCACATTTCAAGGCACTTCTTGTTGCCTCAGCCAGTATTGGAATCCTCGGCGTCAACATATCGAGTGACGTGCAGTTTCGTGGTCACTTGGAAGAGAAGGCCAAATTGACCTCTAAAAAGCTTGGCGTGCTCAGCAGAGCGGGACAGTATTTCATGCCGGCTCACCTCCTGCAACTTTATAAGACGCAGGTTCGGCTGCACATGGAATACTGTTTCCATCTCTGGGCCGGGGCTCCCCAGTACCAGCTCCTTCCATTTGATCTCATCCAGCGCAGAGCTGTTTGAATCGACGGGGACCGAGGTCTTTTCGATTGACTTGACTCACTGCCACTGCGAAGAGATGTTGCATCTCTTTGCGAATTTTATCGCATCTATCACAGGGAGTGCTCTGAGGAATTGTTCGGACTAATTCCAGCCGTACAGTTTCACCATCGCACATCGCAACAAAACTCGCGATACCATCCATACCATCTGGATGACTGGCGGTCCACCACTAAGCAAATTAAAAGTTTTCTTCCTCGCACAACATCCTTGTGGAATCAACTATCACCAGAGATTTTTCTGGACCGATAAGACTTAGGGAACTTCAAGAAAAAAGCCTATTCCTTTTTAAAAGGCCGGCAACGCATCTGCAATCCCCCTGGTAGTGCAGCTGTTCATGGGCGGCGGTAACACTTACCATCAGGTGAGCCGTATGCTTGTTTGCCCCCACTCCTATAAAAAATATATATATAAAAAGTCATCAAAATCAGTTCATAATTGGTGAAGATATCCCATAACATACATACAAAAAATCTTACAGAGAATAATTGTAAGACTCTTTCTTTGGGTTGGCTATAGATATCCAGTACTGGATTTTAATTATGTTTTTTGTTTAGTAGGATTTCCAAGGTTAAGCTTGAACCTTTTACACTGTTTTTGGATGTCGGAAATGTGTTTTGAATTAATTACGTATAAAACAAATTTCACTAAAAATTGTTTATAGTGAAACGCAAATATGTCAATTTGTTCTCGTATTAGAAGTAGACGTCTGTTACTTGATTTTTTTATTTTGTTCTCAATTTATTTAATTATTCATTTATTTCACAATTTATGTACACACAAGTTAGGGAGAGGACTCATCATGATAAAAATTTTGTACAAAGGCTCTACTTATCTCACAATGAAATTTCTTCTAGTAGGCCAGTTTTAAACACATATAATTAATAAGTGATTATAAGGTGTGCACTTTGTTATTATACAACACATATGGGTATAAAATAAATATATACATCAGCTCAAATACTTATATATATATATATACAAATACATGAATATATTCATATTTAAACAAACATTAATACATACATAAATACTTAATATAATATAAAGTCATAATTAAATATATAAACATATATACACACACACATACATACATATATGTACATGCATATATTTGTAACAGTATAGTAAATATCCGAGATTTGAGACTTACACAGAAGACAGCAATAAATAATGTTTATCACTGTCTTCTGTGTAAGTTTTGTCAATTTAGGAGGTTTGTCAGGGTTAATCTCGAACCTTTTACACTATTTTTGGATTTCGGAAATGCCTTTTGAATTAATTACGATAAAAATAAATTTCACTAAAAATTGCATGTAACGAAACGCAAATAAGTCAATTTGTTTTTTATCACATATACACTCATAAAAAAGTTAATCACTCGGACCCAGATAATCCATTTGTGGCTGAAGACGGAACTCATATATAACAAATTGAGTCTCAGTGGAGAGCAGTCAAGAAGTTTTACAGAAAACAAAACTATAACAATTCACATTACATTATTTCATTAACGACTATCATAACAGAGTTTAGGGCAACCTGAATTTATAGATATGATTAGTTGAATCGGTTCTAAAACCGAACTAGCTTGCCTCGAAGTGCTGCATGTAGGGCCTGGTCTGCTTGAAGCTGTATGAAACACTATTTATAAGCTTTAATTACTTTTGTTATGCAATTTTATTACTTAGTGAACACACTCCTTTTCATTCATGAGAATATTGTATCATAAACCATTAAAAAATTCCAGTACAATTGCAGGAGGCTGATCGATATTCATTTAAGTTATAGAAACATGATGTTAAGAATGAAAACATGATCCATTAACATTAAAAAAATATATTTTATAAAAATTTGAAATATCCAAACAACTTTAAAAATTGTTGAATAAATTTGTGTAATGAAACTTTTTGGCATTTGGCATTTATCATTGCATTTAATAATTGTTTTATTTTGGTATAACAAAAACTACAGATTTCTGCAGCAGTAATATTTTGGCCTTTGATACATCTTTATTAACCCTTTCAATTAAAAAAATATAAATTGGATTTTTGAGGTTAAGCCTTATTTTAGTCAACTGTTCTCTGTAGTTGTACAAATAATTTAGTGTAGCAGTAAAGGGAATACTAAAAGTAATAAAGTTCGTCACTACGAATGGAATATTATGAAATATTTGGTCAGTTAAATTTATTAATGGTATTCATTCCTTTTGAACTTATATTATGCTTACCTGACAAAATATCCTATACAATGGTACTGCCGCATAACTTAATCCCACAGTCATAACACCAAGTGCTATCATATAATTTAGAGTTGACCTTATTTTTTTCTTTTCATTACTTAATCCACGAACAATATAAATATTTGGTATTACTTTCACGGAACCAAATATCATTGAGGATTGACTAACATTATGCTTAATTATATTAAAATAACATCTATTCATACATAATAGTCGATTCATATTGTTTTAATTTATGTTTTTATTGGTAATGCAAAATTATATTGAAAGATAATAAATCAAAACAATATTCTCTTAACCAAACCATGGCTTTGACTTTGATGTGAAATTGAAATTGAAATTGTCAAATGTCAACCAAATGACATAACGTCAATGATCCAATTACATTTAAGGGATCTATGTCCATACAGCCTAGCCTGTACATATAATTCTTTACAATATGACACTTTGACAGCGTACACTTTGTAACGTTGTGCGTAACACGGACCCAGAACGATACAAATCGTATATAGGGGAGGGGTGATAGGTGGCGCTATTTAAGCAGTTAACATAGGCTCCGTATAATTTTTGTTTTAAAAATATTATAAACAAACTTTACGTAACTTTTTTGTAATCTAAGTATTAATTCTAACGTAATTTAGTGTGTAGAGTGTTATCTCGCTGTTTGGAGCTATATTAACAGTGCAAAGTTGATGAAAGTAATCAAGTGAATTAGTGAACTAGCCTATTGAATTTATTCTAATAAGACAGTGTTTTTTAAAGTGAAGCGCTAAGATACAGTACTAGCAAACTAAGTCACATTGCTATCAACATTTTATTTATGTCTTAAAGTGAAAAAACATAAATTTTGTATTAAAGTGACGGTTACGGTAGTTCGAAATGTTTAAATTTATGCTACTCGTACATCTGATTAAATCAGCGACATCTATGTGATAATTTATTACCTGAAGAGAATAACTATTTTTGAACTATCACGCAATCTACTAATTACTGGCGAAATATAGTTACGAACTTATGCTAATCGATCAATTAGATTAAGTCTACGATCACCCATTAGAGGGCGCGCGCATTCATCTGATTTGGGAATATTTTAATTTTGAAATAAGTCCTAGATTGTTAGTTATATTGAAGCTATTGTATGAAATGATGATCGCCACTGTGAAACTTTGAAATTTCTAGTCCCCCGGCCTTGGTTGTCTCACCAGAGAACTCGAATGTGGCAGTCCGCGGCAAACCATTTACAAAAAATACTCAGGACAAGAACATTCATGAAGAGGACAGCATCATCATGGAGAATATTATGTCAGAATCGCTCGATGATACAGCTATGGACTTCAAACTGCTTCTTAGTGAAATGAAGGCAATCCGTGCTGAGATGCGCTTGTTCCATAATTCTATGACAGATCTAATGACTGCCATTAAGATGCAAAGCAGCCGCATTGACTCCATTGAAACCAGAATATCAGCCTTAGAAGACAAGTCAAAAGGCTTACAACTTTGTGAAGTTTCGACTTTGGAAGAGACAACGTTACAGTTGAAGTCACAAATATTGGAACGTGACCAAGACTTACTCGCTAATGATATCCAGGTAGCGTGGTTCCCTGAAACGAGTGGTGAAAATACCGCACATATTATCTTGGCTATTGCCAAGAAATTATGCGTGGATCTGGATGAGCGCGATGTGGTGTCTTCAGAGCGTACAGGTTTTATACGCGAAAATGGCTAGGGCCCTTCAGTTCCGCGGCCACGCCTTTTGGTCGTGCGATTGGCCAGTTTGTCGTCTGATTGCACCGAGATGCAATACAGGTATCGGGCCTCGGGGTATACCCCATTGCCCGGATTTCCTCATGCCCCATTACTATGGGGCAGTCATTTTCTTCACCTATCATATTATAGGTGGCTTTTTTTTCCATAACCGGAGTGTCCGTGAGTGGTTAATATTTTTCCATAGTCATTTATCCGACTATGGAAAAATAGGAGGTTATCTTGATAGTTTTTCCGTAGTTATCCTACTACGGAAAAGGAGAGGTTATCCGGTTGAAAGTCAAAGTTGGCCTTTCAGCGGCATTGTGGGTTGTTACTCGACTCTCTAATCGATATAGAGAGGAGTTCTCTTGGAAGAGGTCGCCCGTCCGGTGGCCGAGTGTGCAACGGCGCGAAGCCGTTGAGGTGTTCGTGTGGCCCGTTGTCGGCACGGTCGAACATGCCGCGCGCCATCCGGGCCACGAAGTCGGTGATGCTCTCGACTTTTAAGTCGGCCGCTATTACGTCGTTCCGGACGTAACGACCTGCTCCGACAATCGTCCTTAATGTCAGATTCTGCTGAGCCTGCACTCACCGCCTCTGGGTTATGCTCAGGAGCGCGTACCAGGCCGGAGCAGCGTAGGTGGTGATAGTCCGGATATACATGTTGTATAGTCGGATCTTAGTCTTCAATGGTAATTTGGATGCCAGGCCGGACGGAGCATCGCCCGCGCACATCTGGCTTTGCGGACGACGAAGTCGACGTGCGCAGTCATGCGCAGCGCCCGGTCGATCCGGCACCCAAGGTAAGTCACGGCCTTCTCGTACGCTATCTCCTGGCCGTTGAGAGTCAATGGTGGTGGTAAATTCCAGAGGCGACGAGTGAGCAGGGCGGTTGTCTTACCAACGTTGACAACCATCCTCCACTCATTTAGCCAAGGTGGCAGCAGGTCCAGCAGACGCTGCATTTTGGTAGTGGCTATATGGGCTCTTCTGGACGAGGTGAAATAGGCGCTATCTTCCGCATATAGCGCCAGCTCAACGTCGTCCTCCCATTCTTGCAGCCTGCCTGCCAATGTAGGTATATCATTGGTATAAGCCGCGTACAGGACTGGAGACAAACAGCTGCCCTGTGGAACGCCGGCTCTGATGGATTTTGTTGCGGACTCGGCGTTCTCTATGCAGACGTAAAACTTCCTGTCTTCCAGGAAAGACGCCATTAACCGCAACATAGCAGGGGGGACACTGGTCTGCTCGTGTAGTTTATATAATAATCCGGAGTGCCACACCCGGTCGAACGCCTTCTCGATGTCGAGAAAGACGCCCAACGATATGCGGCCGCGATTGTACTCTGCCGCAAGCAGGTGCAGCACTCTAGTCAGCTGTGTGACTGTTGAGTGACCCCTCCTGAATCCGTGCTGCTCCGCCCGAAGTTGGATGCACGGACGGAGACGTCTTAGCAGCAATCTTTCGAACAGTTTAGCTATGTGTGGTAATAGCGTAATCGGCCTGTAGCTGGAAGCTTTACGCGCAAGACATATTTTCCTTTCCATTCCATCAATATCCCATATAACTACGTCCTCCCAGTTCAGCGGGGGAGATGAACCACTCTCCTGCAAGAGGTGGCGCGGGCGACGACAGGAACTCCTGTACGCGACTCTCCTTCCGGGCATGAAGCTCCATGAACTCCGCACTCGCTGGGTTCGGCATAAATTGCCCCTCGAAATGCTCCCCCAGGATATCCGCTCTGCCCTTGGCATCATAGCAACGTTCGCCCACACTGTTGGTCAGTGGGCAAACGGGAGGTCTAGTTTTTGTCAACTGTCGGTTCAGTTTATAGAGCGACGCATCATGCTCATCCGCCTTCCATATGCGCCGCTCCCAGGCCTCCCCTCTGTAGGCCTGGACTGCCACCGACAGCTCCTCCGATACGGTGTTTAATTGAGTTTTTAATCTAGGACAGCGAGTACGCGCCCAGAGCTTTCTCAGCGCTCTTTTTGCGCTTGATCTGCACGCTTATCTCACGCGGCAGATCATCGCGCCTTGCTGTTATCGGGACGATCGTAGAGGCCGCGTTGAGGGCCTCTTGGATGTTTTTGGTAATTCTATTAGCAGCGGCCTCTACGTCGGCCGCTGTGCTTATAGACATGTGTGCTGGCGGTCTCGCTTGCAGGTGTTGTGCATAGCGCCTCCAGTCGACACGTGTCTTGGTTGCTCTGGGCGGCGTAGTCACCGCCTTTGTGCCAAGAGTTTATCAGAATCGGGAGGTGCTGTGAGCTCAGGTCGTATAGCACCTCTACCACTACTGGGTAGTTGATGTTCCTGGAGAGCACGATGTCCAATACATCCGGATAACTCCGTGGGTTGGACGCGATGTGCGTTGGCTCCTCGGGACCTAAAACGTCATAGTTGTTGTTTTCTGCATCTTCATAAAGTTCACGACCCGGCGGGGTGATCACTCTGGACCCCCACGCCGGGTGTTTGGCGTTTAGGTCCCCGGCGACGATAGTGGGCGTGTCGCCTTCCATTATTGTCCGGATGTCTGAGGGGCAAAATGGAGTCCCTGGCGGGCGGTATGCCGCGTAGATCCTAAGTTCCTCGCCCGCCGCCGCCATTTTTATGCCGATAGAACGCATTGACTGGTATGATGGTAATTCCAGTTCCTGATGGACGATGTCCCTCCTCACCAGAACTGCCGTCCCTCTATAGGCAGCCCCTTGAGCAGTGACCTCGTCCCTTCTGTACAGGTGGTAGTTGGGCAGCTTTATGTGCGTCCTTGGGTTGAGCTTCGTCTCTCCCAGCAAGATGACGTGCAGATCCTGTTGCTGGGCAACAGTGCGGAGTTCATGCAGCTTCTGCTGTATACCGTCCGGGTTCCAGTATAGGAGGCGCAGGTTACTCTCCTCCGTAGTGCCGGGCTAGCAGGTTTGCCAGCGCCTTCATGATGGCTGTGATTGGGTCTGTCCCGGTCCTGATGTCTGTCAGGACTTGCATGCCGACCTCGATGGCAATACCAACCAGACGCTGGATTGCGTCTGCTGTTTCGAGGCCGGCAGTAGGTGTTCTCCTATAGGAAGGCGTTGGCAATTGTCTCGGGCGTTGGGTGTCCTGGGTTTGCTCACTGTGTATTTGGGTAGGGCGCGCTCTTCCAGTAGAGCGGGCTCTGTGCTCAGCCCTTTCTGGCACTCTACCCATACTCCTGGTTCTCTCCCTGGTAACCTGCGCCTGTGAGGCTATTGGTGCAGTTGGTGTCGGGGTAGAGGTGACAGCCTGAGGAGGCTGCGACTTCTTCCGGCTCCTCTCCCGCCTCCTCTTCTTGGAGGGTTGCCGTTCTGTGGCAGGATTGGCGGGGGGCTGTAGAGTCGCCCCGGTGGTTGCCCTTATCTCTGTGGGTTCCACCGTTTCTTTAGGTGTTACGGGGGGGGGGCTGGTTGCCTGCCCTTCCCAGTGATGGTGGCCCACCCGTCTTGCTGAATAGTTACAGCTTTTGGGCGACTCTGGGGGGGGGGGCTTTTTAGGGGCCTCCGGTAGTAGCCCCGGCAAAGTTATCCCCTACCTCCTAGCAGTCCTCCTCAGGACTGGACAGCGGCGGTCATTTGCCGTGTGGTTTTTACCACAGTTGGCACATGTAGGTTGTTCCTCTCTACCCCGAGGGCAAAGGCTTGCAATGTGCTCCCCGGCACAGCGCACGCATCTCACTGGCCTGAAGCAGTTTGCGGATGCATGTCCGAAGGCCTGGCAGCGGTGGCATTGAGCCGGTCCTGCTTTCCTTTGCCAGGCCTCGATGACTACTCCTCTCATAAAGAGGAGTTCGTCGATTTTGTACAGTTCTTGGAGCTGCTCCAGGCTCAGGTGGTCGAACTGGGCAAAGTAGATGCAGCCAGGTCTGCTTCTACGCGGTGGGATTGCTTTGACGTATTTGACGGGGAAGCCTTTTGCCCTAATAGCCTCCTCTATGTCCTTGGTGTCCGTGCCCATTGGTAGACCCCGGATGCCCACTTTGGTGGGCTTGTCCTCCTCCGGGGTATAGCAATACCACGACAATGTTGGTACTTCCTTAGTCAGCTCAATCATGTAGCGTTGGACTGTCCTGAACTCGTTCGCGCTTTGCGGAGTGAACCTCACGCCTTTCCCGAATGGACGGGCATTTAAGGGGTGGCCCAACATTCTGTTGAACTCCTTAAAATGCCTCGTCCAATCCGGGGCGGGTAGCGGGTCTTGTCTTGGTCGGCAGGCTTCTCAGTTGGCACTGCCGCCGACGGTGGTCGCGGTACTGCTGGTGCAGCTACCATATGGGCATAACTGGTAGATGGCCGTTGGCCATCGTTCTGTGGAAGCCCGGACGGATTAGTCGTTGCCGCCGGCGAGGACCGGCCGGCGGATGCAGCGAGGGTGGCATATGTGGTGGACCCCCAACTGTAGGATTCTTCACCCCCCTGCTCATACTGGGCCGAGTCTCGGCTTCGTCGATCCGGGGATATGGAGCGGGGGGGGGGAGGGGGAGTTGCGGTGGAGATGGTGATTTGGGTGGTGAACTTAACACCTTCTTCGGCGTCACCCGGTGGTGATAATCGTCATCCTCCTCCGATGTGGACGGTGCTTCATCGGAGGACAGTTGGGAGCCAATCCTTTGCCTCTTTTCAAATAAAGAGGCTTCAGTCTCCGGTGGTGTGTGGCGTCTAGCCGTTTTCACTGCCCGCTGCTGTTGGGGCGATGGTTCTTGCCTGACCGTATGCTCAGATACGGCCGGCGTGAGCGCGACGCCCGGTGCGGGCTCTTTCCGTGGCGAGACGGGTTTACGTTGGGGGATCTGTGAAAAGGAGGACACGACCCTCGTGCGTTCCGGGTTCGACAGATCCCTCACAACCAGTGGTCGATCCAACACACCTTTTCTTTTGTCTGGTGGTTTTCTTATTGAAGGGGTGGCTCCCCCTTATCCCTACCTGACATGTTACTAATCCTAACAACGTCAGTCGAACTCTA